TGAAAATCCCTGTGATCGATAACCCATATGTACAAGATAACAAAATGGCTATAACGCATGTTCTGCATTTGGAACATAAAACATTAGAAGGCTGCATTCGTTCTCTAAATTTTCGGAAAATTTTCGGTGTCTAAATTTTGAGAAAATTTAGAGAAGCGATGACTGACAATTTTCCGCAAATTTCGATACCGAGGCGTCGAGCTACCCGGATCCCCATTTCCCGAAAATGTTGGGGCTGGAGCGCTCCGAAGCGTGCTGCACCGCATAGGGCTGGTTTAACCGTAGCGTTTTATAGAGTAGATATTTTCAATTTCAGAAAAATTTTATATATTTTCAATTATATATTTTCTTTAATAATTTTATAACGATATATAATTCTATAATTTTCAATATAGTGTAATTCAACGAATTTTAATTTTCTATTTATAAAAATTAGAATTAATATAAGTCGATTTTTATTATATATATGTCGAATTCATTTTTGAAAAAGATGATTATATATTTTTTCATTCGAATATAAAAAATAAATAAACAAATAAGTATATATATATATATTATTTATTCAATCAAACTATAAATAAATAAATAAATATATATATATATATAAAATATAAATAAAAATATTTTCTCGATTGAGAAAAATTTCAATTTTAAAATTATTATATTAATAAAGATTAGATATTAATATCTTTTCTAGATTATAGTAGCGGGATTCCGTGATCTATTCGAAAATAAAAATCTTGGCATTCCCTTCTCGATAAGTATTTTCGTATTAAGTTTATTCTCTTTCAGAGATCAGAATTTGTCAAGAAGTAATTATATATAGTGCAACGATATTATATTTCTCTCATATATAGAAACTAAATTCTTTTCTAGATTATAATGATAGATTCGTTGGTTCAAATCATTTTTTTTATTATCAATATTTTCGAATATATATATATATATATAATTTTTCTTTTCTATATATTTTATCTTGTTGAATTTAGATTATTTTTAGCTTTATTTTATATCATAATAAGATTTTTAAAGTTCTTTAATAAAAAAAGATTTCTTTTATCGAATATTCAAAATATTACGAAATTTTAGATAACTAAACTTTTCAATTCTGAAAACGATGTTATTTCTTCGAGATAAAGATATTTGAATTATTAGTTAATTTCAAATTAAAGATTTCCGAATACATTTTTTAAGAATTTTGGGGTCAGTTTATACCAATTTATTTTGATTGTATTTTTATTTTTTCGATATAGAATAGAGATTCATAATAAAAATCCAATATTTAGAAAAACATTGAAAATATAATCTATACCTTTACCATTTACTTATTTCAAATCTTATACAAATCAATTTATATTTCACCCAACTAATTTTCAAAATAAATGAAATCAAATCATATAAAAGTAACATATATCTCAAAATATGATAATTTTTAAATATGAAAAAATAAATATCAATTCTATATTTAATTAAACCTTTTGTTCAATCCAAGTAATAAAGTAATGTGTTAATTTATTTTTTATAATTCCCTAAAGAATGCAAAACGAGATTTATATATTTTTCTATATATAATATAATATATATATATATATAATATAATATATTTCTATGTAAATGTGTATATACATATTAATTATTCTTAAGATAGATAATGATATTAAATATCTATATATTTTCTTCTAATCTTATTTTTAAAATGATCGTATGTCTCCTTATCTATATAAAAAAAATATAATAATATTTATTCGGTCAGTTATATCATAATCTCCAATATTATGAAAATATCGCAGAACATCGTATTAATCTATGAATCATACATTTATTTGTTTTATCATTTCCAACTAAAATAACATTGTAAAGATTCAAGATTTGCCTTAACGATGCAAAAATAGTATCTATCAGATAATCTCAAAGGACTCCCATGGAACCTCATTAAAACAAATGATTTTCGATTACGAATCTGGCGCAAGTTTGAAATCACATGTAATCTAAATAAATCTCCTCTTATAACTGATACGTGAAAGGTTGAGCTTGGGCTCAGGGTTGGGGATGTAGTTGTGCTTCAGTAGTGACCTGAGTGAGGATTATGATTTGAAACTTGTGTTGTTTTCTTTCGGATTTATGGGACAGTCGATTGCGTCATGTGCCTGAAGCAGGGGCCTCTGCAGTGACAGGGTCACTATGTTTGCCAGTCACAGGGCCAATCGCAACAATGTCACATCACAGCAGACTCTGGCCACAGAAGATCCCTGACGTTTGCTTGGGCACAGCGGAGGGGCCCTTCGCGATTCTAGCTTCTGCACGTGTCTGGCTAGCAGCATTCCATCATCCTACCCCACAGAAGGAGATATAGCTCTTAGGTCACCAGGACTGCCAGCATGTTATATGTTTTTCAAAGGCTGGATGGTGGCTACAGGCTTGACAGTTCCTGCCGTCCCGACCGGTGCAGAAGCTATGGATGGTCTAAAACACTGTACAAGCTGGCATGTGCCGAGGAACATGTCAAGGCATACTGCGAGGAGGAACCATTACAGCAAAAGGCGACACTCTAAAAGTGTTTGCCAAATACCCTAAACCCTAAACCCTAAGCCCTACGCCCTAAACCCTACTCTGAAAGTGCTTGCCAAAAAGCCCTAGACCCTAGGCGGCCTTTGCCAAATGACAGGGGGAGATTCATGTAAAACACGAGCGAAGCAAACAATTGGCGATGTCAATGTTGGCAGAACCCCTAAACCCTCAACAAACCTGAGAAACCCTCAATGGCACGAACAACGATGTAGGGAAGGTTTACGCACTATACTCCAAACCTTACATAATGAAGTCTAGTGTAATGTCGTATGGTAGATTATCACACGACATAACACAACATCTTAGCATAGATAGCAAAGCATAGCTCTTCATGGTAGCTGTCTGTCGCGCCCAAGGCCGAAGGTGCACCGGGATGTAGTCGTTGTGGGACTTTCATCCGGTTGGGAGTCGCCGACTGCTGAATAGACACGCTCCCTAAGAGAACCAGAATTGCAAATCCACCAAAACATCCTATGTCTACACTTCCGCTGCGCTTTGCATGCCCCACCTCAATGTACAATGGGTGGCACCGCTGTGGGCACGGCAGCCATGCTGGCTTTCACTGGAGTTTGGTTGGAGCCTCACCGGCAAGGCAGCAAAAGCCTCAAAACGCCTCTAAAGACCGTGCCACCTGGGCTCCAAACCCTGTATCAATCCCTGGTTCTGGATCATGCACCGCAAGTTTCAGCTCTCATCATCAACCCTAAACCCTAAACCCTAAACCCTAAACCCTCAACATCTTTGAACCAGGTTTTGATGGGTCTGGAAGAGAAAAGTTCTCATGGTACCTACAACGTTTACTACCATTGTGATGATTGTTCTAAGCATGGTTGCCGGCATGGCAAGTATCAGAGATTTCAGGTTTATGGGCTCACGGCTCAGGGGGGGTAGGCTGTAGAGTTCCAGGTTCGCAAATCGAGAACCTTCTGTCCGGCGCTGGGGTGCAACAAACCAAATCCCCAAACTCTTCTCCCACAAGCACACCAGAAACCCCAAACTCTCCACCCTAAACATCCCTGTAACCCTAAACCCTAAGCCCTAAAAACTCTAAACCCTAAACCCTAACTCGGAAGCCCAAGACCCTAAACGTTGCTCTGGCCGGCCAAGCCACAAAGCCCCACCCAGCCCTCGAGCTCGAGACAGATTGCAAACCCAGTGCCGCGTGCTTTGGCCGGCTGGCTCTATGGTAGGGTTTAGGGTTTAGGGTTTAGGGTCCGAACCTGAAACTACAATAACTTACGCAGACTGTGCTCTGGTTCCACAGTGTCTAGGAGTCCGGCTGGTAAGCCACACACTGACAGCCACGCATGCAACAACAGCACAAGTAGGACAACTCTATGCAACTAGTAAGCCCCAAACTCTAAACCCAAAACCCTTAAAGCGAGCTCGAACCCAAAACCCCGAAACCGAGATCGAACCTAAAACCCCGAAACCGAGATCGAACCCAAAATCCCTGAACCGAGCTCGAACCCAAAATCCCGAAACCGAGCTCGAACCCAAAACCCCGAAACCGAGATCGAACCCCAAACCCCGAAACCGAGCTCGAACCCAAAACCCCTACCCCTAAACCCTAAACCCTAAACCCACCTAAACCGAGCTCGCGAGAGTTTCTTGGATCCGCAGAATCCGGGCTGCCGGCAATCTCTGGAAGATCGAAGCAGAAGCAGTCGATACCTCCGCCGGGGTTTGGGGCTACGGGTTTAGGGTTTAGGGCTTTAGGGTTTAGGGTTTAGGGGGTCTTAGCCTAAACCCTAAACCCCTAAACCCCTCAACCCCTAAACCCGGTCCATGGTATCGACTCGAGTGTGGTGCTCAAGGCCCGATGTTTAGGGTCGTGTGGAACCTTCAGAAGACGACGTCGGGTAGGGATGGAAGAGACCCTAAGCCCTATAAAGTTCAAGAGTGAAGGTTTCGGGTCTAGGAAGTTAAAATGTAGGGGCCATAAGAAATAGAATGGGGTTTTGGGGGTTCCTTATTGTATTTACAGTAGACTATACCCCCAAGCCCTACTCTAATGATTTAAGGCCCCTGTGGTAGGGATGAAAGTTCAAGAGTGAAGGTTTGCAGTTGAAGGGTTCGGGCTTAGAGATCACATTGTCAACCCTAAACCCTAACCCCACGATTTCAGGGCCCCACGGAGGAGGGACACAGTTTCCGTGATTGCATTAGGGCCCTTAGTAGAGTCCCAGGTTTAGGGTTTTAGGGTTTGGGGTCCCTAATGAGGACCTATGAGGGCTTGAGGGATCCCCACCGTTTTTCTGTTGCATCGCAGAGGTGGTTAGATGACAAGGCAAGCATCGTTCCTGCAGGCCTTAAACCGATTTAGGTTTAAAGGACAACCCTAAACTTCCCTCAGTCGCGACGGTCGTTGTAGACTGATTTGCTGAACAAGGTACTACCATGTCTATGAATCATAATCATAACGGTATGTAGCCCGTTCGGCACTTCCGAAAGTTTGGCGAAATGACGAACTAACGATGAACGCAGCATAGAGGCGAAATATGTGCTCATGCAGCATTGTCGCAATCAAGTTTAGGATTTTAGAGTTCAGGGTTCTGGGCCAAGCACGAACCCTACACCCTAAACCCTTAAATCCTAGACCATGTCAACCGTGTGCATACCGAGCCCTGCGCGAATCTCGAAGCGCGGCCAAATTCCTCGCAGACACCTTGCTCGGATGAGGCGGGGTGCCTTGTTCGGCTTCAAACAGGGCTTAGGTTTTAGGGCTGAGAGGGTTCAGAGGGTTTATAGGGTTTTGGGTTTGGGTCTTGTGGAATTTAACATGTTCATTCAGGCTTACGATTCATTAGAGGCCTGTGGGTGCAGTTGAGGCTTTGGGGTCCAGGGTCGTAGTGTCCTTCATGAGTACTCCTGGTTATTCCTCATTATAGCTTTAACGTGTTGTCGGACGAACATGAACTTTTACAAGAAAGCTTGGAGTCTTACAAATTCTTGATACACCGCACCTCTGGAAACCTTATCTCCAACTCCGGATGCCCAAACAGAACCTATATTCTTGACCCATACAACTCTTGACCCCAAAACATCAACACTAAAGCCTAAGCCCTGAATAACTCAACCAAATCTGGCAAATCCGAGCCGCATCACTGGATAATCTTCCAAGTCAACTTCTACAGTGATTCTACATGTCAACCGCAAACGCCGCAAATGAAAACAACTCCAAGCGCCATACAGCTTCATAGCAACTGTTATCTTACACGAAAGCCTTGAGAAAAACAGTGCCGAAGCCCTGGGGAACCTCCTCCGCACGCTGTAATATCGGGGCCGTAGCACTTGGAACAGGTTTTGCGGATAGACTACACTATCGTTCTCAATCATTCTCCCAACTTAAAGGAAACTACAGGTGGGGAGTTTAGGGTAAGTAGGGCTTCTAAAGGTATATAGACCTTCTAAAGGCTCCTGTGACGGTAACTACTCACCTCAAAATCTCCTAGACCAAGGAACCTCAAGAATGGTCTTGCCAATTTGTCCGACCCCTGCATAACCCCCACAAAATCATCACAGCCTGACTTTGAAAAACGCCAGAATGCGGGACCCCCTAGGGCTTAGGGTTTAGGGTTTAGAATGCGGAAACCCCCCTAGGGTTAAGGGTTTAGGGTTTAGAAAAGGGTTTAGGGTTTAGGGTTTAGGGTTTAGGGTTTCGAATCCTGTGCCAGCTCTTATCAGCCCTAAGCTGCCTTTCAGACACGTGGAACCCAAGCCTTAAACCCCAAACCTCCTTGAATCCCTTGAGAGGACCCTCATAGAAACCACCTATCATCCCATGTAGAGCCCGTAAAGAAACCCTGAACCCTAAAACCCGAAACCCTACAACCTAAACCCTAAACCCTAAAACCCTGAAGTCATCAAAACCTCTCGGTCCCTAAACCCTATAACCCGGAAGCCCCCAAACGCCATATATCTCTCTATCTATCTGTGTAAATATATAAATAAATATAAATATACATATATATATATATATGTACACCTCTATATATATATATATCATTTTAGATCTAATCTATATATCTATATCTGTATATATATATATATGCAACTATGTCTATAGGTTATACATATATATGATCCCGGTTCGGCCG